TAGTTGCAGTTCTGCCATTTACTTGCTGGTGGATCTTAGTCCTCAATTTCCCACAGGATGATGAAGTTAGATTAGTGATTTACAAAAATTGTTTAACTCTAAAATTAAATAAATTAGGATGTCATCGAATTTGTTCAGCTTCAAAGAGATGAAAACTGAATTATTTAGAATATGAGTTTGTTTGAAGCAGATGAGTAATTAAAACAAACAAAAAAGTACTTAACTTCCCTCTTTCTAACTACAAGGCATGAGAAAAAAGAGACATAGAAATTTAAGTTTAGAAATCACAGGAGATTTCTAGGGCTGCTTTGTCTGTTCCCAGCTCTCTTAAATTGGGAGCTAGTCAGATGGTACCTGGGGACAGAGGGAGGAGGGAGAAAGCTTACTACACACCAATAAGGTATATGTAATACAAATCCCAGAGGCCTTACACTGCTCACTGGACCATAATCCAGCCTGGTGCTAAACATCGCGAGGGTGGAAGGCGGGGTAGGGGTGTGTACATACACGTACACACACACACCAACTCTGTCATCCACTGCTCTTGCCAACAGCACCCAGAAGAAGGAGTGGTCCACAGACACCCACCTCCAGCAAGGCCCTCCCTGGCCTCACCTCTACTCCTTCCCGCCAGCTCGCTGCCCCTCCCCACCCCACCCCACCCATAAGGTTGTTAGGGCTGTGGTCAGCCCCAACAAGAGTAGGTGGCGGCAGTGGCCACTGCTCTTCTGTAGAAGCTGGTTTTCTATCTGCTCTCGACCTCTTTCACTGCTTCGAAAACTAGAGTCTGATTCTAGTCCGACCCTTGCTTTTCTGCCTTTTCTGTCTAGACTAGGCCGACCTAAAAGGCCAAACAGACCGAACCTTGGCCCGAGCATGGGCTCATCACCCTGGGGCTCATTCCTAGTCCTCGCACCCTCACAGCTTCCCGTCTCCTTCTTATCCTCACACCTCTCCCAGACGAACCCTAACTCCCCCAATCTCAACTTCCCACTTCCCCAACTTTCCTAAATACTCCATCAGTACGTCTCGTATTCTTCGCCATCAGCTCTGTTTTTCAGAACTTCCTCATCCCCTTCCTTCCACCCCGACCCCTCCCAGTCCCAGGTCCTGGACGTCCCCTGCACTCCCCACCCGCTTATACTTCCCGTTCCCTCCCCTCAGGTAAACTCGTGGGTCCCCCGCCCCCCAACTGTCTTCCACCTTCCAGGACCCCACCCAAGACAACTCGGGAGCCCCTTCGTGCTCACATTGTCACCTCCGGGCCGGACACCCGAGAGCACCCTCCCTTTCAAAACCCCGGGTGCCCCCACTCCTCAGCCACACCCTATCTCCGGACCTGACCCTTCCCCCTCGCTCCCACTCCTCTACTTCCCGAACTGATCCACAGGGCGTCCGCATCCACCCAGGTCCGCACTCTTCCCCCCAAACTCGAGTCCTCCGGCGCCCCCATTCTCCACCCTCCCCCTCGAAAACTTGCTCCCGGACCCCGCCTCCCCGCTCACACCGTTCCCCGCGCAGCCCCTCCCCGCCCGGCCCCAGCCAGCACCTCGCGCTCGGGAGGGGCGGCTGCCGTCCGCGGGGGGCCCGCTTTGCCTGGGCGGCGGGGCGGTGACGCGGCCCCCGCGGGAGGAGCCCGGGAGGCGGAGGAGGTGCAGGCGGTGGCACCGAGCACCGGCGGCGTAGGGAGCGGGCCTCTGCGCGGCCGCCACCGACCCAGAGGGCGGCGGCGGCTGAGGGACTGCGGGCGGGCGCGTGAGGAGGAAGGACGGCGCGTCGGAGCTCGCTGGGATCCGGGTGCGGGCAGGCGACTGCCCCCGGCCCCGGGACTCTCCGCCACTGGCCCTTGTCTTCCCTTCGCTTTCGCTTCCTCGCTCCAGCCCGGAGAGGTCTCCGGCGGCCGTCGCTTCTGGGGGGTCCTCCCTCCGGGGCGCTGGGAGCCCTGTGACGCGTCCGCCAGCGGGACCTCTGAGCTGCTTCTCTGGGAAATTAGCCCCGGCTGCCTCACTACCTTCTCCGCTCCCGCCTCGGCGCCTCTCCGGCTTGAGGGACTCTGCCTTCGGGCGCTCGGAGCGAGTTCCTGGGACTCCCCCGAGGGGCTGGTGCGCAGCTCCCCTTTCCTTCCCGCCCCGGCCGGCGCGCGGCCCTGCCGCCGGTCACCCCACCCCTAGCAGTCCGCGCCACCCTACTCCACCGCCCTCTCCTGCCGCTCCGCGCTCACCGCGTCCCGGCCCGGCCTCCCGCGCCTCTGTCCCCGAGACCACTCACTCTGCAGCCCTTTCCCCAGGGAAGAAGAAAATTTACCGGAGCGCACTCCTCAGGCCTAGCCCCCCCCCGCGCTCGTCTCCCCTCCCCCAGCTCGTTCTTTCTCGGGGGAGGGGGGCTGTCGCCTTGGATTGAAGGCTATTGATTTGTATGTATTTGTCCCGGCGCTGGAGGCTGCCCGAGCCGCCCGCGCGGGTGCCGCCGCTGCCGCCAGGGGAGTTCCTTCCCTGCTTCCCTAGGGTGGTTAGGCTCCACCAAACATGTCGGCTCCTGTCGGGCCGCGGGGCCGCCCGGCTCCCACCCCGGCGGCCTCTCAGCCGCCTCTGCAGCCCGAGATGCCCGATCTCAGCCACCTCACGGAGGAGGAGAGGAAAATCATCCTGGCCGTCATGGATCGGCAGAAGAAAGAAGAGGAGAAGGAGCAGTCGGTGCTCAAGTAAGGCCCCGGCTCCTTCCCGCCTCCCTCCTCCCCGCCTGCCCTCCGCCCCCTCGCCCGCTGCCCTGCGGCCGTCGGCGCGTCCTGACCGCCGCCTTTGCTCAGCCGCTAGCGCCGGGGCCATCAGGGCTGCGGCCGCCGCCCGCCGCCGGGGCTGCTTTCCGGGTGTCGGAGCACGGGTGTGTGTGTCGGGGAGGGAGGGCTCGAGGCCAGCTAGGTGAGGGTGGCGGGCTTTTGGGCGTGGTAATTATCCCCGGCGTCCTACCGGCTTTCCCCGCGGGCCAATTTGGCTCCGGGACCCCGGTGGGGCTGGGGCTGAACCCAGGCTCCGTGCGTCCCTGCTCCTTTCCCGTCGCCCCCGCGCGGAGGCAGTGACTGGGGCAATGAATCAACTACACACCAATAAGGTATATGTAATACAAATCCCAGAGGCCTTACACTGCTCACTGGACCATAATCCAGCCTGGTGCTAAACATCGCGAGGGTGGAAGGCGGGGTAGGGGTGTGTACATACACGTACACACACACACCAACTCTGTCATCCACTGCTCTTGCCAACAGCACCCAGAAGAAGGAGTGGTCCACAGACACCCACCTCCAGCAAGGCCCTCCCTGGCCTCACCTCTACTCCTTCCCGCCAGCTAGCTGCCCCTCCCCACCCCACCCCACCCATAAGGTTGTTAGGGCTGTGGTCAGCCCCAACAAGAGTAGGTGGCGGCAGTGGCCACTGCTCTTCTGTAGAAGCTGGTTTTCTATCTGCTCTCGATCTCTTTCACTGCTTCGAAAACTAGAGTCTGATTCTAGTCCGACCCTTGCTTTTCTGCCTTTTCTGTCTAGACTAGGCCGACCTAAAAGGCCAAACAGACCGAACCTTGGCCCGAGCATGGGCTCATCACCCTGGGGCTCATTCCTAGTCCTCGCACCCTCACAGCTTCCCGTCTCCTTCTTATCCTCACACCTCTCCCAGACGAACCCTAACTCCCCCAATCTCAACTTCCCACTTCCCCAACTTTCCTAAATACTCCATCAGTACGTCTCGTATTCTTCGCCATCAGCTCTGTTTTTCATAACTTCCTCATCCCCTTCCTTCCACCCCGACCCCTCCCAGTCCCAGGTCCTGGACGTCCCCTGCACTCCCCACCCGCTTATACTTCCCGTTCCCTCCCCTCAGGTAAACTCGTGGGTCCCCCGCCCCCCAACTGTCTTCCACCTTCCAGGACCCCACCCAAGACAACTCGGGAGCCCCTTCGTGCTCACATTGTCACCTCCGGGCCGGACACCCGAGAGCACCCTCCCTTTCAAAACCCCGGGTGCCCCCACTCCTCAGCCACACCCCATCTCCGGACCTGACCCTTCCCCCTCGCTCCCACTCCTCTACTTCCCGAACTGATCCACAGGGCGTCCGCATCCACCCAGGTCCGCACTCTTCCCCCCAAACTCGAGTCCTCCGGCGCCCCCATTCTCCACCCTCCCCCTCGAAAACTTGCTCCCGGACCCCGCCTCCCCGCTCACACCGTTCCCCGCGCAGCCCCTCCCCGCCCGGCCCCAGCCAGCACCTCGCGCTCGGGAGGGGCGGCTGCCGTCCGCGGGGGGCCCGCTTTGCCTGGGCGGCGGGGCGGTGACGCGGCCCCCGCGGGAGGAGCCCGGGAGGCGGAGGAGGTGCAGGCGGTGGCACCGAGCACCGGCGGCGTAGGGAGCGGGCCTCTGCGCGGCCGCCACCGACCCAGAGGGCGGCGGCGGCTGAGAGACTGCGGGCGGGCGCGTGAGGAGGAAGGACGGCGCGTCGGAGCTCGCTGGGATCCGGGTGCGGGCAGGCGACTGCCCCCGGCCCCGGGACTCTCCGCCACTGGCCCTTGTCTTCCCTTCGCTTTCGCTTCCTCGCTCCAGTCCGGAGAGGTCTCCGGCGGCCGTCGCTTCTGGGGGGTCCTCCCTCCGGGGCGCTGGGAGCCCTGTGACGCGTCCGCCAGCGGGACCTCTGAGCTGCTTCTCTGGGAAATTAGCCCCGGCTGCCTCACTACCTTCTCCGCTCCCGCCTCGGCGCCTCTCCGGCTTGAGGGACTCTGCCTTCGGGCGCTCGGAGCGAGTTCCTGGGACTCCCCCGAGGGGCTGGTGCGCAGCTCCCCTTTCCTTCCCGCCCCGGCCGGCGCGCGTCCCTGCCGCCGGTCACCCCACCCCTAGCAGTCCGCGCCACCCTACTCCACCGCCCTCTCCTACCGCTCCGCGCTCACCGCGTCCCGGCCCGGCCTCTGTCCCCGAGACCACTCACTCTGCAGCCCTTTCCCCGGGGAAGAAGAAATTTACCGGAGCGCACTCCTCAGGCCTAGCCCCCCCCGCGCTCGTCTCCCCTCCCCCAGCTCGTTCTTTCTCGGGGGAGGGGGGCTGTCGCCTTGGATTGAAGGCTATTGATTTGTATGTATTTGTCCCGGCGCTGGAGGCTGCCCGAGCCGCCCGCGCGGGTGCCGCCGCTGCCGCCAGGGGAGTTCCTTCCCTGCTTCCCTAGGGTGGTTAGGCTCCACCAAACATGTCGGCTCCTGTCGGGCCGCGGGGCCGCCCGGCTCCCACCCCGGCGGCCTCTCAGCCGCCTCTGCAGCCCGAGATGCCCGATCTCAGCCACCTCACGGAGGAGGAGAGGAAAATCATCCTGGCCGTCATGGATCGGCAGAAGAAAGAAGAGGAGAAGGAGCAGTCGGTGCTCAAGTAAGGACCCGGCTCCTTCCCGCCTCCCTCCTCCCCGCCTGCCCTCCGCCCCCTCGCCCGCTGCCCTGCGGCCGTCGGCGCGTCCTGACCGCCGCCTTTGCTCAGCCGCTAGCGCCGGGGCCATGAGGGCTGCGGCCGGCGCCCGCCGCCGGGGCTGCTTTCCGGGTGTCGGAGCACGGGTGTGTGTGTCGGGGAGGGAGGGCTCGAGGCCAGCTAGGTGAGGGTGGCGGGCTTTTGGGCGTGGTAATTATCCCCGGCGTCCTTCCGGCTTTCCCCGCGGGCCAATTTGGCTCCGGGACCCCGGTGGGGCTGGGGCTGAACCCAGGCTCCGTGCGTCCCTGCTCCTTTCCCGTCGCCCCCGCGCGGAGGCAGTGACTGGGGCAATGAATCCAATATGGCCGTGCACAGGTGCTCCCTGGCCGGGACCCGGGCGAAGGCGCGCCGGCCCGGAATGCGGGCGCCGCCGGGGCCCCTAGTCCCTCGCTTCCGCAGGGCGGCTCTGCCCCCAACGCGGAGAAGAGCAGAACTGCCCAGGGTCGCTGCGGGCAGGAGGGCGGCGGTGCGGGCGAGGAACCTAAGCTCTGCTGTGTGTCGGGTGGGTGTGCTCCCGCCGCCATCTTCCAGCCCCTCCCCCTTGGCGGGTCTAACTCCCTGCACTCTGCTGCTCTTCCTGTTTGCAACTAGTAAATCTGTTTAATCCTGAAGAGACTCTGAAGATACTCCAGTTCCTACCATTGCTGCCGTTTGGGATGCTTCCTACCTTGTGAAGTTCTACTATTCGTGCGCATAGTTTAAGCAGCCAGGATTTTGCTGAGGGTGGGGACTGAAAGCAGCACCCAGGCGTACGTTTAGCGACTGTGTAACTTCAGCACCAGGGAACTGTCCAGACTGAAATACCTATAGCTTTGAGACTTCTTTTCTTGTCAGTCTAGCAAAGAGATTTGTTTCTATAGGTTTGCTTTAAAATGTTTTATGGTTATTTGATTTCTCAGTTACTATGTGAAAGAGATTGTGCAGAGCATGTGTAATCTTTTATGTTTTTACAACCCAACATTTTTCTTTTTAATCGAGATAAGTTTTTCACTAAGATTAACTTGTACAGTTTATAGGCCAAAGGTGGGACCATTCTATTGGGTGTTATCAAATATACTTACCCCAGCTTCTCCAGAAGCACACAATGGAAAGTGTAGAGTTCCTGTATGGAGGAACTTAACATACAGACCTCTAATCAAGTAAATTAAAATAAACTAGGTTGTTGAATTCAGTGTTCTATAATACCCTTATTATAAAAATGATCTGTCTATACATATACATTTCATATCTTAATGACAATAGTATAATTTATGAAAACATCAAATATCAGTACATGTTAGAGGAAAGTACTATTTCTTAAAAAAGATTGAAGGGCTAAGAGCAAAAGTGTTCCTGACTTGTTAATGGAAATGAAGAATTTATTCAAAGCTCATTTCTGGGTTTGAATACTTGTTTGGGAATGTGATTTATTATTAGAAGGCTTGGGAAATGAGAAAGGTTAAGAGGTTAACTTTATGTACTAACTTTATATACTAACAATGCCAACCTTTTGATGACTTAGAGTTGTTATTTAGATATATGAATCCATATATTCCACTAAATTGCTCTAAAACTAGTGTTGCCAAAATCATGCTAAAATAAGATGTAGTTTTATTTCTTTGACCCATATACTTAAATGTAGAATGTGTTCATTTCTTCATAGTATGCTAAATCATAGTATTTATTGGGTAGTTCCAAATGAAATAGAAATGTAAATGAACTTTTGAGTACTGAATTAAGGATTACTCAGAATGAACAGTATATTCTGAACAGTACACTCAGAATGAACAGTATATTAGGAAAATGTGAAAGGGTTTTTCAGGTAGGTGCATGTGAATGTGTTACATTTCTATGTAAACCTACATACTATGCAAATGCATATAATGTTTGTACATTTATATTAGCATAGTTTAGTTAGAAACAAACATTTTCTAAACATAAAAATTCATATAATCTATAGAATTACATTGATGAAAAATCTATTCATACTAATTTTCAATATCTTCTTGCATTTCCACCTAACTTAGTGTTATAAGGGATTGTATCTCAAAATGGCCTAACTGGTTTTAGAATTATTTTTATATTTATTTTAACAAGAGTTTTAGAGGTTAAAGCATAATATGTTTGAAAATTTAATTTTAAACATTCTCTAAATATGCTTTGGTTTTTGTAATAAAATAGGAGTAAGCAAGGAAAATGGAGAAAAGACTAGACTTTATAATAAGATTATAATAATGATAGACATACTGGTTTGAAGAATTTGACATTCTATTAAGTAAAATCAATATAGAGTATTAAGTTACTCATGCTATATATATATATATATATATATAAAACTTAATGAGAAATAGTAATTATTGAAGAATATTAGCATTATTTTTTTCTTATATATATAATGCTAATATTCTTCAATAATTACTATTTCCCATTAAGTGTTAGGGTCCATTTATCTGGTCATGACTATACTATCCTTTGTTTCTTTTTTAGTGATGTCCATTTAATTGCATGGTAGCATCTGTTCTGAGAGAAGGTCATGGTCAGAAAGAAAGAAGCTGAAATTCAAATTTGTATCTGCTGCCTTTTAACAATTATGTTAAAAATAAGTGTGTGAAAAATTGAAACTATTGGATGAGAATATTTTTGCATGATCTGTGAGTTTCAATATTCATATGAACTATTCATACAAAGTGGGCTGTACGTACCTGAGGGCATTGTAGGATGATATATTAAAGTACAGGAGGAAAATGTTAAAACTTATATTTACATTTCTATTTTTCTTTGAAAAAGAAAGCAGTCCTTCCTGATAACATATAGACAGATAATATATAGACAGTGTTAAGATACATATAATTTCTAGGTATATGTATATTAAGAGGTTCATGCCTGAAATATTTTTAATGAGAGAGTGAGTGATCAAAACAGAATTAGGCCACACAGTAATTTCTCTTCTTAGGAGTGTGAATAATTAAAAGCTATTTATGTTTAGTTATTAGCAAAGCCTAACTGAGCATCCACATACTCAGAAAGTCTTCCATCACCACCAAATAATTTCATTTTACATGCAAGTGAAATACTAGAATTTTGGAAGAATTTTTATATCCCAGTAAATCCCTCAAAAGATGAACAATTACTTTTTTTTATTCTTACATGAATTCTTTAACAGTTTTAGTTTGGATAACCCAATCAGTAAAATCTGTAATGTCTTTTACTCATTAATGTTTTAAGCCTTGTCTTTAAGATTGTAAACTTCTTGAGGGCAAGAATAAAAATGTATTCTTCTTTGGACTTTTGTGTTTTGCAGCATCCTAAATACCTGCATATGGTAGATACCTAATAAGTAATGTTGATTTGACTTGTGGTAATGTTAATGAGGTAGTTCACCAATTTTTTTGAGAAAATTAAGAATATTCTTTTTGAAAGAAAGGCATAATTTATTAAAAGTTATGTTTTCCAGTGAGGTTTTTGTTCTTGTTTTTTGATGTGGTATAGTGAACAAATTGTATGAGGGAAGCAAGCCTACTGAAATCAATAGAAAATCGATTTAGAAATAGAAAATCAAATAGAAAATATTCAGGAAATATTTATTGAGTTTCTACTATGTGCATTTCATAGTCTTTCAGATGAGGTGTTTATGTAATAAATTAGAAGTTATGTCATTCTTGACATGAAAATTATCTTTCTATTCTCAGTTTAGATTTTCTGTTAATGACAAATGGATAATTTGCTACCTAAATAAAAGAAGGCAATATGTAGATACTTCCATGATAGATTAGCATAATAATTTAGCTTATATTTAAAACATCGGCGAGCAGTTCTAAATTTCTTTTTAATACTTCAATTTTAAAAGTGCTTTACAAAGTCAATTGATAAACTTCTTTATTTAATAGGTAGTATTCACACATGGCACAAAATTTATTAGCTACCTTCTTAGTTAGCCAGAGTCAACTACTATTGCCAGTTTATTGTATACTCTTCCTGAAATATTCTGTGCATAAAAGTAGATGTGGGTATATATTAAAGACTGTGTAGTCTGCATTTTTGTGTATGTGTGTGATGTATATGTATAAACATAAGAACAAAAACCAAATGTGTGCTGCAGCTTTTTAGGAGATCAGTTCTACACCTGCTAATATGTATGTCTCATTCATTTCAATGGCTATGTAATATCCCATTTTATGAATGTCCTGCAATTTCTTTACTAGTGCCATATTTTGGGTATTTAAGTCCGCTCTGATTTTGCCATTAGAAACAATATTGTGATAAATATCGTTTTACGTATATGAATTTCCACATTATTGTTGTATATCTGGGATAAATTCCTAGAAATGGAATTTTGTTTGTTTAAAAGGTCAGTATATTTTAAATTTTAATAAGTATTGCCAAATTTACTTTCACAGAGGAAGTATGCATGAGTGATACATATGAGGGAAATTTCCACATCCTTGCCAATGCAGTTTGTGATAATCTTTGCCAATATTTTGGTGAGAAAGATGCCATTGTAAATTTAACTGCAATTTTCCTATTATCAGTGAGATTGAGAGCTTTTTATATTTGTTTACATTTGTTTTGTATTTCTCTTTGTTTTGGTCATTATTAGTCATTTGTAGAAGCTCTTTAATACATAATGTCACTTGGTTTATGATCTTTTTTTCCCCCTTTTTTACAGGTAAGAATTTTCAAAAATGTATTTGAACTTACTACTTTTTGATTTATGGCTTTTGGGTTTCTGATATACTTAGAATGATCTTCATTCTAATGTTAAAAAAACCCTCTTTTTCTTTTTATAGCTAAGTGAAATTTTAAGAACATGGCATGTCATATAAAATATTAAATTTAATTATGTAGACAAATAAAAATCATTATTGTGTATGTAAATAACTATGGCCATTGCCAAAAATAGGAAACCTATAGTTTTTAAAGATTCAAAA